AAAAACTGACTTAAGGGACTGGCAGGTGGTGTGGTGGTTAAGGGTGCTGGATTCCCACGTGGCTGACCATGGTTCAATTCCCAGACCTGGCAGCTTGCTTTCTCAACCCTCCCCACCCCCCCTTTTCTCTCTCTGTGTCCCTCTCTGGTCAAATTTAAATAAATAAATAAAGTTAAGTTTTAAAAAAAAAACTAATAATTCTTTTTAAAAGACTGACTCAAATGTACTTCTCGTTGGTGTTAAATTGTACAATCGTTACATATGTAATGATTTATTGCACAGTTAGAGTGTTTTGGACACTAATGTTAATCCATATTGTGATCTCCTCAAAACCCCCAGAGGACAGGCATTCAAACCTTCACTTTGCATTTGAGAGTTCGAGATATGAAGTGACTTGCCGGTTTCACACAGCCCAGAAGCGACTGAGCTGAAGTGGAAACTCTGGTCTTTCCGATTTGAAAGCCCACACTTGCTCTGCTCCATCCTATGGGGGCACTCAGCCCCGTTAGTGAGAGGCATGTTCCCAGAAAAATGTGCTGGACAGTCTGAACTAAGGAGGGAGGATCGCAGACCCGTTGTGTGCACGCGAAGCTATCTGGGTGGCCTGGTCACAGTGGGAAATTTCCTCCCCATTACCATTCTGTCCGGCTGTGGTCTCCCAAGGCCATCTTTTTTTTTTTTTTTTTTTCTTTTTCTTAAGTTTTAGTTTTTGCTATAGGGCATGTGCACTTGCTAGAGAGAGAAAGACAGGGGAGGAAAAATGGGGAATGAGAAATCACCCTCGAAGGGGATGACCATACCACAATCCCCTCCTCCATCCCCTTCTTGGGATTTTGGGCATGTACACACAGGTGCCTGGCCTGATTTTCCAGCTGCCGGGTTTGAGACTTGAACCATGCAGTCAGCCATGTGGGATCCAGCACCTCCAAGCCATCTGCAAGGCTGTCTTAACTTAGAAGACCATCTTGCTTCTTAGCTTGCTTGATGCCTTTGTGAGTAAGAAGCCTGTCTCATCCCTTGGTAATTTCTGCCGATCCGTCCCTCAGTTACCCTCACATTCTCATTTTCTTTCTCTTGCTTGGATAGATTACTGATCTGTTAAGAGGAAGGAGAAGACTTTAGCTCAAAGTCCAAGGCCAGTCCAGCTCCCTGACCTGATCCAACAGAGGCAGGACAACCTGGCCAGGAGTCAAAACTGAACTTTGACTCCCACTGGCCAGTGCACGTAGCTGGTGCTCATTTACTGAATGTTTAAGTATGACTGCTCAAGTCATCCAGCTCTGAGCCCATCTCCTCACTTATAAAAACAGGAGTACTATTACGACTAATAATACAGAGGTCTGCTCACTGCATGTGAGAGGCTGGTGGTGATGACCTGTGAGGAGATGCCTAAAGACATGTCCACACCGGAACCTGGGCCGCTCCCATCTAAGGGGCGTTCTTGCTGGACATGGAGCCTACGACTAGCCCAGGCTGGCCTCAACCCCCAATCATCTCTCTTTTCAGGGGTGGACTGGAAGATGACAGATGTGCAGATTGCTACCAAACTGCGCGGGTGAGTGGTTCTTGGGGACAGAAAGCCCTCTGAGTCTTCTCAGGGTGCAAAATGTCCTAAAGCCCTTCTGGTCATCCATCTCCAAGGTGCTGCGTCTGGGCTCAAATGGTCCCAGTCACACCATGGCCATGTGGTGACATCCTGGGGCCCACAAGTCCCACCTGCTATGCCCAGAGTGCATCTTACCTACCTATGGGCAATGAGGAGCCTCCCCTGGGTGGCCCACAAGTCCCACCTGCTATGCCCACGGCCCCAGGCTCGGCCTGGCAGCTATTGCTGCTGCCCACACCCAGGGTTCCCCGCAGTTCCGGGCTCCGACAGTGAGTGCCTCTGCTTCCTGGTCCCTTGAGGAGGCTTGTTGAGGTGCAGGTGGCCCTCAGTCTGCTACAACTATGGTAGAAAGGTGAAGCATCCTCACCACAGTTAACGTGAAGGGTCCCCTGTCAGGGTGGGATGAGACCACAGTTTAAGCCTGAGGTAGCACCCAGGGGAGGCTCCTCATCGCCCACAGGTAGGTAAGATGCACCCTGGGCACAACACGCTGACAGTGGCTGTCCCAAAGTCAGCCCCTCAAGGGACTGTCAGCCCTAGGATCCCACTCAGCACTTCCTGTCTGGCTGCAGATACCAAGGCCTCAAGGAAAGCTGTTTCCCTGCCCTGCTGGACCAGTTTGCCTCTGCCCACCAGTGCAACGCCTTCTGTGAGATGCTGGGGCTCAAACCCCTCAAGGGCCCCGAGACCGCCCACCCCCAAGCCAAGGCCAAAGGCTCCAAAAGTCCATCTGCTGGCAGGAAGGGCCCCCATCTGAGTCCCCAGCCTCAGAAGAAAGGCCTCCATAGTCCTCAGGGCACCCGGAAAAATGCCCCAAGCTCCAAGACCACCCTTCAGGCCTCAGAGTCAGTCGCCGTCCAGTTACTGGGGCAGCCTCCCACCCAAGAAGGAGGCCCCAAGACCCAGGGCATGCGGTAGCCCCAACAGGAGGCTGGGGGCCTCCACCCAGCAGCAGACCAACCAGGAAGCAGCTTGACCTCGAATGGAGACTTTCACGATACGGAACTAACAGGAGAAGGTGCACCGAAGAGGCACCGCCCGGGGACCTTTCTGAGCAGCCTCTCCTCCATCAGCTCCTCATCAGATGGCTGTGGTGCCTGGGACGTGGCCCACTGGCCTCCCCCGGCACCATCGTCACCCAGGGCTCCCAGGCCTCAAGCAGGCCCCACCTCCAAGAGCCTAAAGGCCAAAGCCCTCCTTGAAGTTTACACTTGCCACTGCTGGAGGCTCCCCTGAGTCCTCTGCATGAGTTCTGCCCCCGGCCCCTTGCCCCAGCCTCACCCCATGGCAGATGCATTTTAGGGGGATGAGGGTCAACAGTTACCCTCTGCCCCCACTTGGCCCTGACCCCTCCCTGTCCTCTGCTGGGCCTGGCCTGGTGACTCTCAGGGTGTCTTCTCCTTGCAGCTACTTTGCCTCATTTACCCCAGCTTATCCTGCAACTAACCTGTCCCTGAGCCCAGATGGGGCTTGGGGCCTTTCCAGAGCCGTCATGTCCTTGTGCAGTGGTCTTTGATGATGTGTGTTCATTCCCTACCTCCCCCATCACTCAGGCACTCACCCACCTGCTCCCCGGGCTCCCTCGAACCTCCTCCCCCTCACACACACACACACACGCACACGCCCCTAGCTTTGAGCCAGTTGCAGCTGCTGCCTGCCTTCACCAACCAAGTTTGTGCTCATCTCTGCCTGAGGGCTCCCTGAGCCCTGACCCCTCACTACCCACCACAACCCTGAGTCAGGAACAGACTCTCTGGCCTCTCCCTCCCCCATTCCCAGGCTCTCTGCTTATGAGAGCTAGCCTGATGGTTGCGTCAGCACCTACAGCCAGAGGGAAGGTGCCGACTCAAGGGACCTTGTGCTCCACACTGAAAGGAGCCATGGTCACACCCCTCCACCAGGAGCATGGGTGTCCGGGAAGGATGCTGTACCTCCGTGCCCTCGGGCAGAGGGCTTTCTCTGCCTGGGAATCAGGATCCTCACTCCCGTTAGCTCCTGATCCTCGGGTTCCAGCTCTGGGCTCTCATGCTTGGGCTCCCAAGGGATTCCTGTGCTGGGCCCTGCTCCCAGGGTCCTTCCAGATTATCCCTCCTTGAGGCCTGGGATGGATCTGGAGCTAGACAGCTCCTCTTGGAATGCAATAAAGGCAGCGGCTGTGTACCCTGTTGCCCTCCTCTGGTGTGGTATAGATAAGCCGGTCCAGGGGCCTCCCCTAGGCAGGCTTTCTGAGGGCACCCGCTGGTCCCCAGGGCCGCTGGAAAATGAAACTGTATCTTGTCTCCTGGACCAAAGTACAGGGGCTGAGCCTGTGTCTCCACAGCTGGAGAGTCTTCTGTTTTCGCACAACCGAGCTGATGGCCTGTGCCCCTTTGCAGGGTGTCTGGGGACTTACACCTTTGGAATTGCTCCTTCACTGGAAGAGAAACACAAAGGCAGGGACCCAGGAAGAGCAGAGCAGGGAGCTCTGCAGAAATTCCCGGTGTCTCTGGGTGCTTCCAGCACAGCAAGACCAGCCTCTGCCTCTTAGCTTCTCACAGATCATTTCCTGCTGCTTCTTCCCTCCCCCAGCCCCGACCTAGGGACCTTCCCTCGGCTGACATTCCCCCACTCAATTCTGATATTTCTGACTTCTCTACCTCCTCCCAAGCTCAGGCAACTCCCTACTTCTTCCCCCGCACAGCAGCGTGCTCCCGGCCCTCCCAGCCCACCTGTCCAGATTGCTTTGGTGAACGGGGAGCTGGAATGTTGTTTGTTCATGGACTCGTCCATCCGTCCACTCAGCTTTATGCCTCACCCTGGGCTGGCTGATGGCGGGAAGCATAGATAGATGGGGCAGTCTCAGGGGAGACTGTCTCCATCCCTTAGGATTTGGGGGTTTTGAGTAACAGACATGACTTTGGACCAACTTACACAAAGAAGAAGAGTTCATGGGAAGGATGTTGGGCGAGCTCTCAGGACAAAAGGAAGAGCTGAACGGATAGCCTTGGGAGTAGAGGGAGCCGGGGCAGCTCCTGGGCCTCGCTTCCAGGCTAATACCCACCCACTCTTCGTCCTGAGGGCCCCCCTCCACTCAGGATGCAAATTCTGGGCAGAGGAGTCTGGCCTGGAGCTCGGGGATTTTTGGAATAGGAGAAAGGCAGTTTTCCAAAGGATGGTCATTCTTACCAAAAGAATGGTGGGGAGTAGAACAGTAAGAAGGGGTTTGGTTGGCAAAAACCAAAAGATACCCCCCACCACATACACACACACACACACACACACACTGTTCTTCCCATCCCGTAGACGTCAACCCTCCTGCATACAACCACAGCCGAATTCCTCTCTGCTCAGGGAATTCAAGGTCCTGTCCAACTACTGAGTCTAGGGGTAACGACGGGGCTGCTGTTCTCCAAAGCCCAGTGTCAGTAGTGATAATCTTCCTCTTTTAGTTTTATCATAATCTCATTCTGCCACCCACTCTTCGTCCTGAGGGCCCCCCTCCACTCAGGATGCAAATTCTGGGCAGAGGAGTCTGGCCTGGAGCTCGGGGATTTTTGGAATAGGAGAAAGGCAGTTTTCCAAAGGATGGTCATTCTTACCAAAAGAATGGTGGGGAGTAGAACAGTAAGAAGGGGTTTGGTTGGCAAAAACCAAAAGATACCCCCCCCCACATACACACACACACACACACACACACACTGTTCTTCCCATCCCGTAGACGTCAACCCTCCTGCATACAACCACAGCCGAATTCCTCTCTGCTCAGGGAATTCAAGGTCCTGTCCAACTACTGAGTCTAGGGGTAACGACGGGGCTGCTGTTCTCCAAAGCCCAGTGTCAGTAGTGATAATCTTCCTCTTTTAGTTTTATCATAATCTCATTCTGAAATTTTACAATCATTAAATTAACTATGTTTGATCAAAATTATCTAACGCAGCAAGAAGGAAGTTTGCGTAAAGGCTACCACCCCTTTCTACAACTGGCCTGAGGAACTGGTGTGTACGATGAGGGATTTGGGGGCTGTTGGAGTGAGCTGGGTCTTCAGATGTAAAGTCCGGCTCCTGGTGGTCCCACCTGTGTGACAGGCTTTTCCTGCTCAACATGGCAGTACCAGAAAGCACCCCCAGAATCCCTCCACGTCCATCTCCTGTCCCCACTGCCTTTTTTAATCACTAGAGAGCACATGCATCTGTTGGAGACAGAGAGGAAGAGAGTCAGGAAGCACCCTGAATGGGGCATGGTCATGCCACAACCCCTGCTCCATTTCTCTATCCTGTTGGGATTTTGGGCACACACATGCACCAGGCATGTTGGGCCAGGATTCGAACTACATGTTCAGCTACAGGGGGTCTGGCTCCCTTTGACCACTAGGCTATGACCAGCCCAACCTGCCCCTTTTCATATCACAGCTATCATACTTTCCCCTGAGAGGGTTCATAACCTCCTCCTGTCTGTGACCCGGAGGTATGAGGAGCCTGTAGTGGCCAGGTGGCTGCCGCACCTTCCAGCTGGGTTGAGTCATTACTCTGCCTCTTTGAGGTTGTGTTTCCTCCTTAGTGACTTACTTCAAGATTATGCTGGCCTGGTCCCAGTCCTCAGACAGGAGGAAGGCATTAAGAGGTAGCAATAGTCTGTCCAGCTCCCCTTTACTGTCCCAGAGGTGGATGCGAGTTCAAAGTCGATGCTGCCTCGTGCGGGCTTGGCCCAGCCTCTCCCGGTGTCGTTTTGGCACCATAGCTGAGTCTTCTTTCAGTCAGGCATTCGCCACACTACCAAGCCAGCTGCTGCCTGCCTGTGGGCATCCCGCCGAGAGGAGGGAGTGTCTAGGCATCAACCCATTACTTGCTGCGGAAGACTTTCTTTGGTTGAAAGCAACTCACAGACACCACAATGCAGTGCACGGCATTTAATGGCTCTGTGGGTGTGTATGGTGGGTGAGGAAAACCAATCTAAATCCAGTTCCCAGTGGACCAGACAAATTACTGCCCCCTCTGAGCCCACAGACCGAGGACAGCTCCACAGCGTGGCAGGAAGGGGCACTGTGGGAGAGTGGGTGAGCCACTCCCACCTGTGCTCACTCGGGCCTTCGGAGCCCCAGCCTGGAGCGGCCATGCCCACCTACGGGCACGTGCTCTGGCCACCCCAGACTTCCCAGCCAGGTGGCTCAGATCACAGCACTTGCTGAGGGCAGCACGGCCCCCGCTTGTGCTGAGGCCAAGCATTCAGGTTCCCTGGAGTCCAGCAGCTGGCTGACAGGCATTTCCCAAAGGACACTCGTTACTCGATGGCCAGACTATCACTTGATTCCAAACCCTGGGTTCTCCTACCTCGTTTTTCTTTTCTTACGTTGAGGTTTCTGCCGTAGGGCACGTGCACTCATGGGAAAGAGAGAGAGGGAAAGTGAGAAATCACCCCCCGGGGGATGGCCATGCCGCAGTCCCTTCTCCTCCACCCTTCTCTCAGCATTTTGGGCACACATGCACAGATGCCTGGTGCGATTTTCAACCCACCAGGTAGGGGACTCAAACAGTGGTAGGCCATGTGGGAATCCAGTACTTTATTTTTTTAAAAAAATTATTTATTTATTTCTATTTGTTATTATGATTTTTTTTAATTTGACCAGAGAAAGAGAAAGGGAAAACCAGGTCCAAGACTTGAACTGTGGTCAGCCATGTGAGAATCCAGCGTCCTTAACCACCCCACCACCTACCGGCCCAAGGGAACCTTGTACTTTAACCACCATACCACGTGCTGGCCCTGTCCCCGCTGTGGTGTTCTTATCAGGACTTAACCACAAACTCCATATGGCACTCTGGTCTGGCTCCGGCCCCACAGAGTCCCGGGGTGCTGCAGATAGGCAGGTACCACACCAGCATCGGTTCTGCAGGTCACATGGCAGAACCAACTGTACCAAAGGCTTTCCCGGCTGGAGGCCTTCACTGGCTCCAGGCTCTACCAAAACTGGCCGATTCTAGGCCATTTAGTAGTGGGATACAGCCAAATGCTCCCAAGTGCTCTATATTGCCTGGAGTTGGGCCTTGTGGCAAGGGGTTCAAAATACAGTAATTTGCCCTTTTTTTTTTTTTTTTTTTTTTGCTACAGGGCACATGCACTTGCCAGAGACAGTGAGAGAGAGGAGGGAAATGAGAAATATGAGAAATCACCTTCCAGAGGGAATGGCCACATGCAGTCCCTTCTCTTCTATTCTCCTCTTGGGATTTTAGGCATGCATTGGCACATACTTGGTGTGTTTTCCAGGCTGTGGGGTCCAGGACTCAAACTGCACAGTTAGTCATGTGGGACTCAGCAATCTTACCTCCATCACCACCTGCTGCCACCGCCTCCCCCTTTTTTTTTGGCTAGAGGGCATGTGTACTGGCCAAAGAGACAGAGAGAGAAAGAGAGGGGGGTGCTTTGTGAACAGCTGAGGCCTGACCAATGAGGCGTGGTCAGGCTGCATTCCGTTCTCCACTTCTCCATCCTGTCAGGAATGGGGGCACGTACGTGCACACGTCCCTTAACCATTAGGCCATGGGTCATCCCATGTCCATTTTAATGACTAGTCTACTTCGTGCCTTCCATCTCTCCTGCTGGGGTCAAGGAGCTCTTTTTCATAGCAGCTCTTCCATCTGGCATTCTGGACCTAGAGGAAAAACCATCAGGACCTCTCCAGTCTACGTCTTGTGGGAAGGAGGGGGCTCATCTTCTGGGTCCTGCCAGAGGACAGGGAGAGTGTATGAATGGGATGCATGCCAGGAACCCAATAAAGCGTTTTTGTCTCCTGAACTCTTTGAATTCCTGCCTTTCTTTGATTTTTGGTCTTTGGATGTAATGTAGCGTGGGCCAATGTGTGGTCCCTGTGTGTATCATCCAAGGCCCCTTAAAATGGTAAGTGCGGTATTAGTTTGAGCTTCTACAAAGAACGTAGAATCTCTGCACAGCGAACATGGCAATAAATGCAACCTAAACCAAAATGACATTCTGTTCACCTTGTCAAATAGACTTCACATCATTTTCCTGGGGGCTCAGCAGGTGGCGTGGTGGTTAAGATGCTGGATTCCCACATGGCTGACCATGGTTCAAGTCCCGGATCTGGCAGCTTGTAAATCACACCAGGTACGTGCACATGCATGCCCAAAAGCTCGAGAGGAGAATGGAAGAGAAGGGATTGTGGCGTGGCCATCCCCCAGGGTGGTGATTTCTCACTTTCTCTCTCTCTGGCAAGTGCACATGCCCTGTAGCAAAAATCTCTCTCTTAAAAAAAGAAGAGAAAAGAAAGAAACTCTGACTTAGGAATGAACTGGTTAAAATACCAACAGAAATAATAATCAAATAATAAATCAGGTTACTGGAAGGATGGCAGGGTAACCTACATATCTGAAGGCAGAATTGAATGACAAGCCTTGGGGGAACAGTTCTGAAGACTTTGGCCTCAGGAACTTGCAAACCGTCACCCAAGTATATCCTTGTCAAGCCCAACTGCACCTTTTTACTATATGTCTCCACTCAAGAAAGAGAATCTGGCATGGCCTAGGTCACATGGATACCCAAGACCAGGGGCAGCAGGGGTACTGGGGGACAGAGAAAGGAGGATTCCTCTCCCCTCCCACCAAACACAAGGGCAGCTGTGCTACCAGAAGTAATGGTTAGTACAGAATACAAAGTAAGAGAGTTCAGTTCATTCTGCACCCCAGAGACAACCCCCTGGAAGCTTGAAAGACAACTGTAAGCTTAAAGGATTATTACCGTGGAGGGGCCTGCATACCCAGCTTGAAGAGACCTCGGCGAAAGCACCAGCTTAGCAAAGCTACCCCGGAGCGGTGTCTGGGGTCTCAGCTTTGTACAGTCAGTACCTACCCCTGAGCTCATCAAACTCAGTGGCTGCTCCATTTGACTTCAACTTACAAGGAAATGAAATTCACACGCTAAACCCTGTGTTGATTGCCAACGAGAAATTGAAGACAGTGGTCTTAAACAAGATGAAGTTATTTCTTTAGGAAGAAATCTGAAGGCAGTAGGAGTCCTGGGTGTGGCCCATCAGGACAGGCTCAGGGATGGCTTCGACAGAGCAGCTCCAGCTCTCTGCTCTGCCCCACCAGCCCAAGCAGGAGTGATCATTGGTCCCAAGGGCAATATCGTGAACAGAACTAAAACTAGTAACATACCTGTCAAGCAGCAACATGCTAGATCTTTGTAGTCAGTAGACAATGTCTAATCTGGAAAAAAATCATACTATCTATATTTATACATGTATCTACCTAACATCTACCTACTCATCATCTGTCTGCCCATTTATAGAGAGTACAATCAGAAATGTAAACACAGTGGGTTGTTGTCTGTTGTAGGGATTAGGGTATGAGGGGACTGTTCTCTGGTTTTCTGAGTTCTCTGACACTGTCCAGTGGTGGGCTTTCTTAAGAATTCCTTAACTGAGGACCAGCAGGCAAGGTGCTGGATTACCACATGGTCACTACAAAAATCACACTGGGTTTGGGAACCAGCAGTTAGCGTAATGGCTATGTCACTGGACTCCCACGTAGTCGACTGTGGTTCACGTCCCAGACCCGGTGGCTTAAAACTCACGCCGGGCACGTGTGCGTGTGTGCCCAAGATCCCGAGAGGAGAATGGAGGAGAAGGGATTGCGGCATGACCATCCCCCCTGGGGGGTGATTTCTCGCTTTCTGTCTCTATGTCTCTGTCTGTCTGGCGAGCACACATGCCCTATAGCGAAAATCTCTCCAAAAAAAAATCACATTGGGTTTATTAGCAAAAAAAAAAAAAAAAGATAAGAATAATATAAATTTAAAATTAAATAAAGTAAAAACCTAAGGAAGGAAACATATCACACTGCGCATGTGTATGCGTGCCCAAGGTCCCAGGAAGAGAGCTGAAAAGAGATTGCAGAGTGGCCATTCCCCCTGGGGATGATTTCTCACTTTCTCTCTCACTGTGTCTCTGTCTCTCTCTGGCATGTGCCGTATGGTAAAAACCTAAAAAAAGAGAAATCCTTAGCTGGTGACTTATTAGACCTTATGTGAAACAGAAAGACCTAGAAAGGGACTCCCACTCCCAACTCCTCTGCTTCAGGAACTGCCTAAATATTGATAGATCATACTCCACTCAATCCCAGCAAATCTGAGCCGTTACGTGTCCATGGCAAATATGATTGATGCACTTCAGCTGGATAAGTCCTCCAGTCCCTGCTCTTCCCCTGGGGGGCTCAGGCCCAGTCCATCCAGCCTCCCAACTGCCGGCCCGTGACCGTCATCGGGATTCCACCTGAGAAGAGCATTCGGCTTCTCAAGGCCGAGGTCCCTGTTGGCTACCCCAGCTAGGGAGAAGGAATGAGGGAGGAGCTCAGCGTCTCCCGGCCTGGAGGAGGGGAGCAGTGAATCAGGACAGCCCAGGACGGACCGTGGCAGCTGTGACGCAGGTGGGCCCCCTGCCAAGCACGTCGCCTCCTCACTCCTGCCAGGCTCTTGCCATCCTCGTAGGTGCTGTTATCATCCACACCCAGCACTTCACAGATGAAGAGCCACATTAACCTGGACAGCCGGGGGGGAATCTAGACCTTTGGGCTCTGTGCTCGGGCTTCACCCCGTGGCACGTAGCCTGTTAAATCCTCGTTGGATCAGGGCCAGCGGCGATGTCGGGTTATTACTGGCTATGATGGAGGGAATGTTTTGAAATAAGGGTGGCTATGTTGGACTTGTGCCTTCTGTCTTCCCTCTGGGTCCCAGGAGAAACCAAGAAGCCAGGGGGCGGGAAGGAGGAAGGGGGACTTGAGGGGAGAGGGGAGAGGAAAAGGGGTTAGGATGGGGCAGAGACCAAGAAGCAGGTCCCTTGCACTTCACGGAGCCCACCTAAAGGGCAGCTCTGAACCCACCCCAGGGGCTGCCCCTCTGGTAGAAGACAGCTTGGGACAAAGATTAATTTCCAATCTGTGCAGCAGGGTGTGAGTCTCTGCTGGAAAAGCCAATTGCGTAAACATTGGTGCACTGTGATCCCCTGTGGTAAAAAGAACCACATAGAATCATACACACTGAGGGGAAAAAGCGAAGAAAAACGCCGTCAACTCAGCATGGCCAACCCCGGAGAGCTCAGATTGGGGAATTCTAACATCCCGTGTTCTCTATACTTCGCTCATGTTTAAATGGTTAATGATGCACGCATAATGCTTCGGTAATTAGAATGACGGACCGAAAAAACATATGTTTTCAAAGAGCAGGGGTGCACCCCCTCCATCCATCACCTTCTCCAAAACGGCCAGATGCACACATTCCTTGCACCCTGCTCCCAGGAAGATTTATGTATCGTGAAGAATTTTGTATCTGAGTGTTCCATGAATGATTAAAGAGATGTTGTTGATCCTGCCAGAGGAGTTTAATGTTTAGTTTGAGGATTAAGAAACCTAAGCGTTGGTCCCTTGGCTTTGCATGCTGTTACTTGGGTGTTAGTTTACAAAAAGAAGGAGGAGGAGGAGAAGGAGGAGGAGGGGAAGGAGGTGGAAGAGAAAGAGGAGGAGGAGAAGGAGGAGGAGGAAGAGGAGGAGGAGGAGGAGGAGGAGGAGATGGTGCGATACCATTTTGTTTCCCTGACTGTGTTGTCGCTTAGACCTAATTCTAGTCCCTCACCAGTGTGCTGCTTTCCTCATCTCCAAGCCTAGGACGACAAGTTGCTGGTTTATCAGCTACAAAAAAAATTTGGGGGGGACCAGCAGTTAGCGTAATGGCTATGTCGCTGGACTCCCACGTAGTCGACCGTGGTTCGAGTCCCGGAGCTGGTGGCTTAAACTCACGCCGGGCGCGTGTGCGTGCGTGCCCAAGATCCCGAGAGAATGGAGGAGAAGGGATTGCGGCGTGGCCATCCCCTCTGGGGGGTGATTTCCTGCTTTCTGTCTCTCTCTGTCTGGCGAGCGCACGCGCCCTATAGCAAAAGCCTCTCCAAAAAAAAAAATTTTTTTTTTAAATTGATCTAGTGAGAGAGAGACTGAGTAAGATGCAAAATAAAAGCTAAGATGAGGGACTGGCAGGTAGCATGGTGGTTAAGGATGCTGGATTCCCATATGGCTGACCATGGTTCAAAGTCCTGGATCTGGCAGCTTGCTTTCTCACTTTCTCTCTCTCTCCTTCTCTCTGTCTCTCTTACTCTCTCACTCTGTCCCTCTCTGCTCACAGTAATGCTAAATAAAATAATAATTCTTTTTTTTTTTTTTAAAAAAGAAAGCTAAGATTAAAAAACAAACAACAACCACCCACAAAACCCAAAAACTGAGTAGCAGAGATGGTCAGTGAAGAGGACACCATAGAAGGGGAGAAGAGGAGGCAAGACCAACATAGAGGGCTTCCTGGAAGAGGTAGCCTGGGGCAGGGAGAGTGGAAAGGAAGGCGTCTCAAATGGCGAAGGTAGAAGCTGCAGGGGGCCAACTAGAGGGGCTCATCTGCCATAGTGTCCCCTGATAGCTGAGAGAAGGTTAGGGTCACACCCCAGCTGTGGCCCAGGCTCTGGGGAGGTGCTGGACAGAGCTGGGTAATAGGCCCAGCCCCCTCCAACTCTGGACTCTGCCCGGAAGTTTCTGCTGAAACGGGAAGACTCTCTGAGCTGCAAGCAGGTTGTACCCAGCTTGTCTCCACAGAAACGTGTGCTGCTTTCCGTCACTCCCTGAGAGCCACCTGTTCACCACCAGTGTGTGAGTAGGACGAGGACCGCGCCTCTCTGTGCGGCTGTGTGTCCGTGTGTGCCCAGGGAGGTGGGCCTTCCTAGAATGCCCGTGTGTGCGTGCTCCACACGCATCCCCACTTATGTGTGTGTGCGTGTGTGGGTGGGCGGCCTCTAAGTCAGCCTACCCAGCCTGGTTTGTGCATAGAGTGCTCTCCAAGGGGGAAAAGGGGTGGGAGTCAGGGGGAGAGGGGGGTCTTAATTTGGATTCTTATTTCCAGATGTGCTTAAGCCTAAGAAATGTGCTTCTGCAAAAAAGGAACTACATTGGTAGTTTTGATTTCAGATATAGTTGGATCCAGGGACTAGAAGGGTATGCTCAGGATTTTGTGTCTCCAGCTTTCAGAGGTGGAAAGGATAATATGAAAATACCATCTAATGGCAGTGCTGTATTTATTCATTTATTTTTTAAGGTTTTTGCCATAGGGCACATGCACTTGCCAGAGAGAGACGGAGAGTCAGGGAGAGAGGAAGTGAGAAATCGCCCCCTGTGGGGATGGCCATGCCACAATCCATTCTCCTGTGATTTGGGGCATGCAGATACATGAGCCTGGTATGATTATCAAGTCACTGGGTCTAGCACTCAGCCATGCGGGAGTCCAGTGCCTTAGCCACTGTGTCACCTCTGGCCCCTGATGATGGTGCCTTTTTTAAAAAAATTTTTTAAGAATTATTTATTTCATTTTATTATCTTTCTTTTAGAGAGAGATTTTTGCTACAGAGTGCATGTGCTCACCGGAGACACAGAGAAAAACAGAGAGACAGAAAGTGAGAAATACCCCCCAGAAGGGATGGTCACACTGCAGTCCTTTCTCTTCCATTCTCCTCTTGGGATTTTGAGCACACATGCACACACACCTGACATGAGTTTTTCACCGGGTCTGGGACTCCAACCATGGTCGACAACATGGGAGTCCAGCAACATAACCATTATGCCATCTGCTGGTCCCAAGAATTATTTATTTTAAATTTATTTCTTCTCTCTCTCTCTCTCTTTTTTTTTTGAGACATTTTTGCTATAGGGCATGTGCGCTCTCCAGAGAGACAGAAAGACAGAAAGCAAGAAACCATCCCCCAGGGTGATTTCCACGTGGCAATCCTTTCTCCTCCAGTCACCTTGGGATTTTGGGCATGTGTACACACATGCCTGGTGTGAGTTTTAAAACACCGGATCCAGATTTGAACTACCGTCGACTATGTGGGAGTCCAGTGACATAATCATTACACCATCTGCAGTCCCTCTTGTTATTATTTTTTAAATTGGAGGGCACGTGCACTCACCAGAGAGAAATAGAGAGAGAACGTGAGAAAGGAAGCTGTCAGGTCTGGGACTTGAACTGTGGTCAGCCATGTGAAAGTCTAATGCCCTACTCACCAAACCTGCTGGCCCCTCCAACAGCAGTGCTTTTAACCTGTTATGGGGAATGATGGAAGGCTGGGCCCAAAGAAAATGCCAAAGTCAGATGCTTACACATGCCGTACATAATTCCTTTCCTCCTCCATGGCTTGGGCAGGATTTGCTGTTTCTGCCCAGACCTTGAGTTTACAAGGACTTGCCTCTCACAGGCTCAGCAGTGATGGCAGGAGGCCCCCGGCACCGTGAGGGTGGTGTTCTGGGATGGCACAGCAGCCACCTGGCAGGGCCTACTGTGCAAGCATCTGTTCCCCACCCAGCCCTCTCTTCTTCCCAACCTGCTCTCTTCCCTTTTTTGGTTTAGTTTTTTTTCTTTAAGAATTATTTTATTTAACTTTATTTATTTATTTATTTCATTTGACCATAAAGGTATAGAGAGCAAGAGAGAGAAAGCGAGAAAGCAAGCCACCAGGTCTGGTACTCAAACTGCGGTCAGTCATGTGGGAGTCCAGTGTCCTTAATCACCAAGTCACCTGCCAGCCCCTAGTTTTTCTTTTCTTTTTAAAAAATTATTATTTTAACTTTACTTATTTATTTATATTTGACCAGAGCGGGACAGAGTGAGAGGGAAAGATAGAGAGAAGGTGAGAAAACAAGCCTCCAGGTCCAGGACTTGAACCGCAGTCAACTATGTGGCAGTCCAGCGCCTTTAATCACTATGCCACTTGACAGCCCTTTGGTTTTTTGTTTGTTTGTTTGTTTGTTTTAAGAGATTTGCCGTAGGGTGCATGTGTTCCTGGGAGAGAGTGACAAAGGGAAAGTGAAAAGTCACCTTCCCCCCTAAGAGACGGTGACCACACTGCAATCCCTTCTCCTCCATTCTCCTCTCCGGATTTTGGGGACGCACACCTAAGCGCCAACAGGGGAGATCGCCCTGCGGGATCCAGCACTTTAACCACTTTACTGCTGGCCCTTTATTTTGATTATTTTGCTTTTTCCATCCTTCTCTCTAGGTCCTAGCCAGGCACTGTCTGGCCCTCCCTTTCAGCCTGGGGCCATCCGTGACTTTGTCTTTCAGCTGGAAGATCTGGCACATGGAGGATGACACACCAGGACCAAGAGAATCCATCTCTCTCACACGGGTGGCCAAGGGCCTGGAGAACATGGGCGCTGAGTTCCTCGAGAGCCTGGTCAGTCCCTTCCCTCTGTGCCCCCAACTCTCCTGACAAAATCGCTCTCCTTCACCCAGGGCACACCTTTCGCCCTGTCGCTGTAAGCACATCCCCTTGCCCGCCACCCCAAACAGCCCCGCAGGCTGCCCAGTGGATGTTGCCTCGGATGTGCCCTGCCTGGCTCCTTCCTCACAGGCATCCTCCTGGACTCCAGCCAGCCACAGCTGAGTCACAAAGTCCCTGCTTCCTGCAGACCCAGAGCTGCAGGTCAGGACCAGCACCAAGCCCTGCACCCAGTAGGTGTGTGGCTGGGGACATGCAACCTGCAGGGCCTTTGCTTGGGTTGCGAGGGTCCCTGGCTTCGTGCAGGAAAGAATTCCAGAATGAGCCACTGAAGGGGAGTGAAAGTAAGGTTAAGGACAGTGCAGGGAGCGGACTACTCCGGAGGTGGAGCAGCCAGGTGAGAGGAGATGGGTGGCCAGTTTCCTCCCTTCCCCCAAGAGGAATGGGCGAACTATTACCCAAAAGGACACACAGAAGGCCTACCCCACTGTCCCTTAGGCAGGGCAGCGCTGAAACTGGGTGGGTAGTCTGGCTTATACTGCTTTTCTTAATGCCAGGCTAATTAAGGGGCTTTTTTTTTTTTCTTTAGAGAGACATTTTTGTTATAGGACTTGTGCACTCGCTGGAGAGACAGAGACAGAGAGAAAGCCACAATCCCTTCTCCATCCTCCTGGGCACCCACGCACACATGCCCTGAGTTGAGTTTTAAGCTGCAGGGTCAGGAACTCGAACCACTGTCCACTACGTGGGGATCCAGCCCACGTAACCATTACACCATCTGCTTGTCTTCAATTAAGGGATGATTTATTTGGTGACTTTTTTTTTGGAAAGAGGTGGTGATTTTCCTGGAACCACTGCTCACTCCCATTTTTCTGACCTGAGGCAGGTCCGGTCGTTGCCGTGGTTACCGCAAACTGTCACAGAGCAGGTGGGCGTGGCACCCAGTATGCTAACACCCAGCCTGAGCAGGCTTTCCAGGCGACTACTTGGTTCCGACTGGTTCAGACCCGGTCTCTCAGCCGCTTCTTGTGTGTCAGGGTTTAGGTGTTGGGACTGTCCCTCCTGTCAGTCCCCTGCTGTCTCAGTGTCCCCCTGCATGGGCGAGGAATTTGATCAAGTAGCCTTCTGATTGCGCCCTGTGCAACAGTCTGGTCCCCACTGCGCCCACTCGGGAAGTGTCACCGGGTCTCTCACCTCCTGAGTCCCCCTCAGCTCCTGTCCTACTTTTTTAACAATTATTTTAAATTCATGATAGCATGCGCACACACGCATGTGGGGGGGGGAGAGAGAGAGGAACACCGTCACACTGCGGGTCACCTGCGGGCCCTCCCTCCAGTCCCCCAGCCGGCCCGGGCCTGCGCGCTTGTGCGTGTGCGTGTGCGCATGCGCAGCTTGTGGCCGGGACCCAGGCCCGGAATCCAAACCTCGGTCGCCCCGTGGGTTCTGGCGTCCCTGAGCAGAGCGGCACCGCTGCGCCATGGAGCCACCTCTGGGTGGGAAGGCTGACCTGGCGTCTCCCCGCCGGCTGTAGGAGGAAGGCCGCCCTGGCAGCGAGCTGAGCCCAGCAGAGGGCAGGGGCAGCGGGAGCGAGGCGGCGCCAGAGCCCTTCTCCGGACGGTGAGTGAACCGGGAAGGCCGCCCTGGGAACAGGCTGGGGGTGCTCTGGGAACCCCTCCTGAAGAAGGGTAACCCTGGCCGATCATGAGCCCTGAGGCCCTTGCCTCGCATTGGAGTCACCCAATACCAAGCGTGGACTGCCCTGGGTGAAGGCCCGGACCCAGCCAGGCCTCCCCTTCCGCTTCTCCCTTCCAACGTCTACCTCCCCTTTCAGTCTCGGGGGGGCCCAGGGGGACCAAAAAACTCCTGGAGTGGGCCAGGCTGTTTTACGGGAAAGGCTGAAGCCTGAAGAGGGAAAGGAAGCAGCCGGGTCACCTAGGCAGCAAGCGTCTGCTATGAGCCGAGAACACCTCCTGGCCCGGGCCCGCGGGGGGCCCTCGGTGGCGAGCAGCGGAGTCGGTGCGCACAGGTGGAGGTGGGGAATGAACGCCTCCCTTACCTCTCCAGAAGTGGGAGCAGGGACAGAGGCCCCTTCACACAGCAGTTGGGTTGAATTTTAATAGCATTGAGTGGGCAGCTACTGGATGTCAGCCGCTGGGACCCGATAGGCTCTTCAGGGACAGATGGAGTAACCGAATGGCCAAGCAAGAACTGGCGTTGGGCCTGGACCCTGCAGGCAGGGAGTGGGCTGACGTGTGTCCTCCCTCTGGGGTAGGACCTGCTGACTCAGTGTCTCCTGGGGCCCCCCCGGAGTGAATGCAGAGCTGGGAGCCTGCCATCTGCTCCATGGGCAGGTGGTCTGTGACCGGAGGGTACTGCTTCTGTATGTTGGCGAGGTTCTTCCTAATCTGATCATTGCCTCTGGAGCTCTGGAGGCTGCGGTTTGAGGGCGATTTTTCAGGCCCAAAGCTCGGTTTGTGCAGTCTCGAGGCACAAAAGCCTGAATAATTTCTGGGTTTGGGCTAGGGTTACCCTTCTGCACTGTGGGATGTCAAGGCCAGTGCCTGACTGGTTCCCTGTCACCCTTTCATTGGGGATGCACCTGAATGGCTTCCACCTAGAGGTGTGGGGGGACCCCCACTGGGGTGGGAGTCTGGGACACTGGTGGACCCTGATCATTTTCTCCCCAGGAGCAGCCTGCAGCCAGCGCTGAGAGCGAGAAGCCTCTGCAGGGAGCATGCACAGCTATTTCGATGGATCCGCACAGGCCTGCTCTGTACTGGTGAGCCAGGAGCCACCTTGTCACCCCCTCTGCCCACCAGGACTAGTTACGGCCGCCCCAGCCATCCACATCTCAGGGAAGGGTCATTCAACAAATCCTTACTGAGTACCAACTTAAACTCATCTACCAAGCCAGGTACTAAGGTGTCAAAGAAGCCAGCCCAGAGCTTATTCCCAAGGCCTCCCCATCCTCATCTGCAGGGGTAGGAACAGGCATCCCCACACCATGCAGTGAGCCACCAGGAGTGCTGAGGAGGGTTGGATGTGGTCTTGGTGGGGAGGAAGACTCGTAGAGCTTGTTGGAGAACCTGCTGCCAGGCCACCCAGTAGGAGAGGAACTTTCCCAGGGATGCTTGGACAACGGACTGATAAATAGGTCCATTTAGAAGCCTGAGGACCAGACACATAGAAAGGGCCAGCAGAAGCCAAGAGGGCCAAGGATTTGGAGAGGGGAGAGATTAGCAGCATCTCTGTGGAAGACCAGCAGGACAGGGCCTGAGTAGTGTCCATTGACTGAGGGACAAGGAGGTCATGGGTGACTTAGGGTATAGGTTTAAAGACTGGATTGGAATGAATGGGGAGGGAGGCCGTAAAAGTTCTTCGTTCTTGCAGGTAGCTGTGGAGATGCCTATCTCTGTTGTGGGCCTGTTCTGGTCTCTTGACTCTCTGCTCCTCCCCGCCCCCCTTGTCTCCCATGGAGATCATGCTTGCTGCTCCATGCCTGCGGAGGTGTGCAGAACCCCGCCTTCACACGGTGCACGGGTGTTCCTCTCTCTGAAGGTTCTACTCAGGAAGCCAGATCCAGGGCTGCAGTGGCCACAAACACACCTGGGCCGTGGCCATTTCACCAGCTCCGGCCTGTGCCTGGGACCCACCATTGTTCTTGCTCTGCCATGTTCTAACTTGTCTGGTCACAGAGGGGAAGAGGTTACTTTTACCTGTAATGTTTTATTCCTTTTCTTTCCCTTTTTTTTTTTTTTTTTTTTTCCAGTGGGGCGTTTGGGCGACTCTATGG